AACTGACCTTGGCAAACATAAACATGGCTATACCTCAATCAGTTTTATAAATATTGAGCTAAAACTTGGTGTGGTAGCTGAGAGTGATCCACAACTCATAGTTTGAGCACTGATTGGTTGCAGCTGCTTTCCTTGAAGAAATGCTCTTCATTAAAGTTTTTGTAGTGATTTAACTCCATTTAAAAAGGTCATAGAAATTGCTGCTGCCCCCACCCCCAATTTTAACAACCTAATTTACTTCTGTTGGAATAAGTGACAATTCATGCTTTGTTCTCAGATTATTTAATATAGCTAACATAAGTCAGCGAGTAGTTTTTGTAATCTTTGTGCACAAATAAGCCTTTCATTTTAAGAATAAAATATTCAACTACCTGTTCTTTTAACTGAATTTAGTTCTGTTTACAAACTGCAGGTCTCAGAGGTCTTCTTCTCCCTCAGTCACAGTTTTCTGCTCTGGTTGGATCAGATGTTTTTGTCTCTTTTGTGATAAAGATCCTCATCATTTATAACATCCTCCTCATCCTAAATAGGACAAAATCAAAGTAAGTTCTAACAGAGACGTTTATTCAAAAACCCGTAAAACCATAAATTACAGCATCTAATGTCAAACTTTTTACGTACGTACTGAGGTCTTTTTAAAATGTTTTTAACTTTTCTTGGTTTTGTTTTGATTTTTACAGCGAAATGAAAGGAAGATTTTTCTCTTCGTTTCCACAGTATCCCCCTTAAAAATAAAATATTCAAAAAGTGTTTCTTATGAGAGACAACAAACATTTTTGTAATATGCTGACATCGACTGGTCACAGAATTGGACTGAAAAAAAAAGAAGCTAAAACAAGCAAAACCCACCAGAAAGCTTGAACTGTTGATCAAAACCACTTTACTACAAAATAATTGTTCTTTTTTTGGAGCAAAACACACAAAAAGTGCAGTTTAAAACTTTTGCACATATGCACAGACTAGGCCGAAGGATTTTCCACAACCTTGTGTCAGCCTAAATTTAGTCTCTGAGC